TATCCAGGGTCACTACTATATGAGTCTGAACCCACTGGAAGACACTTAACAACAATGGAAAAGCATCCACCCATTCCACATTCCATCAATGTCTGTCTGAAGACACTACCTTAGTGCTAAACGCCAAGTTCTGGCTCTGCTCCTGCTGGGATAATCAAAGGGGGAAGCTGGACTATCCAAAAGGTTTGGTTTAGCAGATTTCACCATAGCTTCCTCTGAACTCTGCAGATCACTGAAGGATGTTCTTAGTCAGACTCCTTTTCATATCGCCATTGCTCTTAGTTCTATTTCATATACAGTTCACCTTACGTTTTGCTTTTAACTTTTCAGATCAATGCAGGACATATCTAAACTCAACATTTGTCACCAAAAAGGGCACAGAATTGTGTTCTTTGCTCTGGAGGGCTACATGTCACGAAACACACTCTACCTGCCACCAGCTTATCTCCTTTCTGCCCATTTTTAGGAGGTTACAGTGGTGGCAGAAAGTGACTTGGGGAAAATGGAGACGGCAGAAGTGGAAGTACATCTGCTGCTCCTCAAGTGGTCACTCTGGTGCCTTCCTCTCTCACAGGAACTCAAAGTTTTGGGTCCTAGATAATTTGAAATTGTACTTTAAGGTATCTTTACTAGCTCAACCTAGGAATAGGGTCATCTAGTTACTTATTGGAGTTCTGCTGTGGCGCTGTGGGTTCATATGCTGGACTGCAAGATTGGTTTGGGCTCCAAGGTTGGCGGTTCAAGGTCATCAGTGCTCCTCAGAAACACTATACAGGGTCGCCATGAGTCAGAACAAACTCGGCGGCATTTAACAGCAGTTACTTATTTTATTACATTGGCTTTTTGTCGTGGAAGCTGAAGAAATTGTAGCTTATTTAATGCCGAAACAACAACCCAAACCTAAGTCAAACTTACCTGAGAATATGAGTCACAAGCAGCATTTGAAGTACAAGGAAAGGGTACGAGAAGCTTTCACGGAGAGGTGGTGTCCACATGACACGAGTACACTGGAAAACATTCAGAGCATATGGCACACTGGTTACGTTTTCTAAGACATGGCAAGGAAAAGCTGCTATTTTAAAATATAAATAGAAGTACTTTTGACACCTAATTTAAATGGTGTTGTATAACAAGAAGCTAGGGGATTTTCCATCAACAGGGAAGCTGAGAAAGGAGAAGCATTTGCTGAGAAAGGGACACACATGGCTTAAGATCTTGTGAAGTATGAACATAACGAACCGACGATAAGAAAGCACCCAAAAGCTTTAACTGTAAACTTACCAGAAAGGGGAAGGAAAGGGCAAGCAAGAAAATGCTATGTCAAAACTCACAGTTTCATTTAAATTGGTTATTTAACTACAGACTACCTTTTTACACATCAATTTTTAAAAAATAAAAAAGTATCCTTAGGCAATTCTTCCAAACTCTTTGTGATCATTATTAGCATTTTAAACTAACTGCACCTTTCTATTCACAATGCTGGCGTGACCTATAGGATAAGCACTGATCTGCTAACTACAAGGTTGGCAGTTTAAACCCAACAACCAGTCCTTGGAAAACCTTAAACAGGGTCACTACTGAGTCAGAACTAACTCAACAGTACTTTAACGACAAAATTCTTAATACTACTAAAAATTTAGGACACTGCCAAGTTTTGTTTTTCCTTCGTCTTTGGCCAAACTATAAATATTTTTTTAAAGCGGGAAGGGGAAAAGGGCTAGATATCAAATTAAATAATGAAACTCTGAAAATAATCAAGTGTAAATTTCCGAAAAGCTCGTAAGGGGCATAATAAAACATTATACTATCTTATTTTAGTTCTCAATCGTGTTTCTAAAAATTTACAAAATATATTAGTAAGTCCATCTTTCAATTTAAAGAAAACTGCACTGGGCTAAATGCAGACAGTCTTACAGTACTACCACTGAGCTAGTCACACTGTTGTGATGCGCTAACACTGTCTACTTTCCAAGAATTCTGAACCGCCAACCTTGCAGTTCAAACCAACTTTGAGGTCTAGTGCTTATCCTACGGCGCCACACCAGGACTCCTAAGCTAGTCACACTAGAAGAAATCAGATTCAAGCATGGCTACTTGAAAGACCACACAGAATTATAAAGATGGCACTGAAAATAAGAGGGGGCTCAAAAGAATTCGTCAAAAAATTTCATCTTAAAATTCCATTTTTCCCGTTAACTTTTGAAGCTTTCTCATAAGGCTTTATGTTAGTCTTACTCAGTCTGTTAGATATTCCTACTGCTACAGAAAGTGTAAAAGGAGCTCTGGTAGTGTAGTGGTTATGAATCGGGCTTCGAACCTTAAGGTCAGCAGTTCGAAACTACCAGCTGTCCCGTTCCCTGCTCCCGTAAAGATTTACAGCCTCAGAAACCGTGTAGAGGGTTGTTATGAGTCTGAACCAACTCCACATAACCACCATAGAAAGTCTAAGCCCTTGTTTTTCAAACGCTAAACTCCTCCATAAAATTAGCATAGAAATCTTCCTACGAATGTACAATATGCATAAGAGAATTCTGTAAATATTGAACAAATCTTTTTTAAGTTCACATTTGTTGCTGCTAGAATGCAACTTTAAAAAACTGTTTATTAGATTACCTGGAGAATTCAATAGGTTTAACTGCAGCGATATATAACCAAAGTTTATAAAAGCTATCAATCTCTGTGCTGTAACTAATGAGAAAATATTCAAATTATATAGTGTCACATACTGAGGATTTTCTTTATAAGCTGTTCACCCACATGTATTATCTTACATAAATTCAGCTATATTGTCATCTTTTAGAAATTCAGTTATCTTAGTAGCGAATGTTCTCTCAGAATTCTATAAAACTCGATTACATCTGCAAAAGAAGATACTGGATGCCCAAGTTAAACAAGTGCAATAGAGAGCCAAGTCTTCTCTCTCTGTAAAGCTAAGAGTGAACGGATTCAAATGCACGTGAGAGTGCTTTTTAATTGTTGTCTCAACAATATAATGTGCTTTACTAGATCTGGTACAAATAAAATTGCTGTTCCAGATGACGGCATATAATTTGAAAATAGCACACAAATTTGCTTTAATCATGCTTTAAGCACAATAAATAAATACTTTTTAATTGCAATTTTAAGGAGAAAATAACATTCTACTAGTTCTATACATAGGTTGACAGTTTAAAATGTCAATGTCTTTTAAAGGCATTATCTTAAATTTAAGAATTAAAGAAGAAAATACAGTTACCCACTGAATAACGCTGAGGCTAGGGGCACAAACCTCCCGTGCAGTTGAAAACTCTCATAAAATTTACAGGTAAGCTTTGAACAACACAGGTTTGGACTGTGCAGGCCTACTTACACATGAATTTACTTTCCTGTTGCTATTGCGTTCAGCTCATGTGTGTCCAGTATCTGCCCTAGGACACTATCTCCAGGTGAAGAGTTCATCACCACACAACCTCCATTTTGCTCTCCAGTAGAAAACCACCACCATTCGGTATGTAATTTCCAGGACGTATTTTACAGCACTGAATAATACTACAACACAATATTGTCCAGACGTTGAGGATGATGTACAATCCTCACAATCACCAACCTGTTAAGGTACATTGCTATGGCTATTGGTACATTCCAACTCCCTGAGGCAATCCTTCATTGGCCCTCGTCTTCACTGGTACTCTTTTGCCCAAGAGCTCTCTCCTCCCCTACCAACTGGTACCTCTTCATCACGTGTTCAAAGTAAGCGAGTTGGACCACATTCTGTTGTGATCCATAGGGTTTTTACTGGCTAACTTTCAGAAGGAAGTCACCAAGCTTCTCTTCCTAGTCTGTCTTAGTCTGGAAGCTCTGCTGAAATCTGTTCACACTGGGTGGCCCTGTTGGTATCTGATTGTAGCTTATGGCATCAAAGCATCACACAAGCCACCACTGCAGGCCAACAAACTGACATATGCATGGTAGAATAAAACGTGATTCTGCCTAAAATTGGTGACAACAAGCTTGATTTACTTTCTGCTTTGTAAAGATGTAATTTTAAAAATGAATTACTCAAAATTCAGAGACTAAGTATCAACAACAGCTTCATTGTCTAACCTCGACTTGCAAACAGTTTACTTTTGCTCTTAGAGATTTAGTGTGAATCAGTTTCTCTTCATCACATAAGAATAAATAGCAAAACATTAGAAAAATAATCAATGTAATACACCACATAAATAAGAAAAAAGAAAAGAACCACATGATCATATCTATTGATGCAGAAAAGGCATTTGACAAAATCCAACATCCGTTCCTGATGAAAACACTCAACAAAGTAAGAATTGAAGGGAAATTCCTCAACATA